GCTGCTAACTGGATCTTGAACTTTGCCATTGCCATGTACACACCATCCGGATTCAAGAATATCGACTGGAGAACTTATATCATCTATGGTGTCTTTTGCTTTGCCATGGCTGTTCATGTGTTTTTCGGATTCCCAGAAACTAGAGGTAAGAGATTGGAAGAAATTGGACAAATGTGGGCCGAGAAGGTTCCAGCTTGGAGATCAGGCTCATGGCAGCCAACTATTCCATTGGTATCCGATGTTGAGTTGGCTAGAAAGTTGAGTGTTGAACATAATGAAGAAAAATTGATGGAAGAAGATTCCAACACTGATGAAGAGCAAAGATAGAATTTTGCTCTGTTGCTTCCAAGGTTTGATTTCAATTCTTGTTTAACTCAGTTTATATAGTAGTGTTTCTTTGAAGTTTATGCTGTTTAACTTTATGCACTAGTCGAGTCGTAGATATTACTCATTAAAAAGATTTACGGAGAAGTGGGAGATGTAGTAGAGTACATTTTCTCTTTGCCCCTGGATAGAAAATAATGCATCCATTTTCGCTTCAAATGCTCATTTAGGAAGTGAAATTTCCCGACTCCAAAAATATTCCGACAAACGTTTTGAATCGGATATATTTATTCTTATGTTTAGATTTAAAAGACACACACCCTCCCTTAATTTGGGGAGGACAATGAAAACAAAAAAAAAGGAATGAATGGTTCGGGGTTTAGATCGCATAAACGCCGTATTATTGTCTGATTAACTATGGCTGATTAATCGACACAAGCTCCCCCGCTTATATTTCGTTTCATTCGGAAGAATCAAAGTACAGGAAAAGAAAAGACGCCTTTGTGGTGTGTCATGGAAAAACTATTGTTCCATGAAAGATGTAACCATTACATCAGCTCCATGATCGAGATTCAGTTCTTGAATGTCTCCACTTCTAGGTATAATAGATATTTTTGAGTCATATGAGTACCGGGATTGGAAGGAACACCTTTGATTAGTATTTATGTAGCATTCTAAGTAGAACATCAATCAAACTAGAACTTTATTTGCATTTGTGAGAATCATATAAACAAACTAGTATGATTAAAGAAAGACTTAGTACTGGATGAAAGAAATCTTGGGAGTAATAAAACCCCAGGTTTTGGCTGGTCAACGAACAGTTTTATTTGAAATTAATCCGTTTCTTTTTATCATTAAGGCGTAATATCTAAACCAAAATTCCTGCAACAATAACTGAACTAAGTTCTTCTCCACTTGTTTCCTACATGACCCACTTGTTTCTGGTTTCTATTTTTAACTTCAAAAACACGGCTAACGGAGTTAATAGCCCCCTTAAAGCTATACTAGAAGTAATTGTAAAAAACTCGTACTATAGCTTGGATTAAGTTAAGGAATCCCCGCTCAAGGATCAACATTAAAATTCAGCTGATTAATCTAATATAAATAGACAACTTAAGACTCTTTTAGAGCTGGTGGTATTTTCAAAGAGTCTCTCTTACTTTATTATTATTTTTTGCAACCATGTCCTCAAAATTAGAGCGTGCTTTTTCAAACTCAGCATTGGCAATAAGCCAAAAGTTGGATAAGTTCCCCAAGATATACAATGTTTATTTCATCGCTAGCATCTCCACCGTGGCTGGGTTAATGTTTGGTTTTGATATTTCTTCAATCTCGGCATTCATTGGTACAGACCCCTACAGACATTTCTTCAACTACCCCAGCTCAACCATCCAGGGTTTTATAACTGCATCAATGGCATTAGGTTCATTTTTCGGATCTATTGCTTCTGCATGTATTTCAGAGCCTTTTGGAAGGAGATTGTCGCTTTTGGTTTGTGCATTCTTTTGGATCGTTGGCGCTGCTATTCAATCATCGTCACAGAACCGGGCACAATTGATCATTGGTAGGATTATTGCCGGTTGGGGTGTCGGCTTTGGGTCCTCAGTAGCTCCAATATATGGTGCTGAGATATCACCAAGAGATAGAAGAGGTAGCATCAATGGATTTTTCCAGTTGAGTTTAACTGTTGGTATTATGATTATGTTTTATATTTCGTATGGATTAGGTAAAATCAATGGTGTTGCTAGTTTTAGAATCGCTTGGGGCATTCAAATTGTTCCTGGGTTAATTTTGGCTATCGGTTGTTTGTTTATCCCAGAATCACCCCGGTGGTTGGCAAAGCAAGGACGGTGGGGACAAGCTGAATTTATTGTTGCCAAAATCCAAGCAAAGGGCAACGCAGAAGATCCTGAAGTTTTGATTGAAATTGCCGAGATTAAGGAACAGTTGTTGATTGAAGAAGAAGCATCAACGTCAGTTGGGTATTCCACATTGTTTCACAAGAAGTATTACTTGAGAACACTTACGGCATTGTTTTCCCAAATTTGGCAACAATTGACAGGCATGAATGTGTTGATGTACTACATTGTCTATATCTTTGAAATGGCAGGCTATTCTGGAAATGCCAACTTAATTGCTTCTTCTATTCAGTATGTGTTGAATGTGGTTTGCTCCATTCCGGCTTTGATATTATTTGATAAATGGGGAAGACGGCCAGTTTTGATAGTTGGGGGCATTTTGATGACTACTTTCCAATTTGGATTGGCGGGTATTTTAGGTGCATACGCTCAACCGTGGGCTGATTCTGGAAATGATACAGTCAATATCAGGATCCCCGATAGTCAGAAATCTGCATCAAGAGGAGCCATCGCATGCTCTTACTTGTTTGTATGCTCCTATGCCATGACGTGGGGTGTTGGTATTTGGATTTATTGTTCTGAAGTTTGGGGCGACAACAGAATATCACAGAGAGGCAATTCGTTATCTACTGCAGCCAATTGGATTATCAATTTTGCCATTGGAATGTATACTCCGTCAGGGTTCAAGAATATTAGTTGGAGAACTTATATCATTTACGGAGTGTTTTGTGTGACAATGTCGCTCCATGTTTACTTTGGTTTCCCAGAAACTAGAAACAAGAGGTTGGAGGAGATTGGTCAAATGTGGGCTGAGAAAGTACCAGCGTGGAGATCAGCAACTTGGCAACCAACAATACCAATTGCTTCTGATTCAGAAATTGGAGGAAAAGTAAGCCTTGAGTATAAGGAAAATGTAGAAGCTCAATCAGAGAATGTAGAAGCTCAATCGGCATGAATGAATAACTTGGATGGATGTATATCTGTCGTTTAAATAGCGTGGTAAATCTGAAAATGTTTGTTTTTCCATTTTGAACAGGAGAGATTAACAAGAGGGCAAGATGAATTGAATAGTAAAGGACAAACTTCGCTGAAGGAGCGTATACTGAGCAACCACAGTACGACCAGCACGGACTTTCTCATACCCCACAATGCCATTATAAGGTAAGTACACAAAACCAAAGCGGAAAAATTGTGTGTTCTCCCCTCTAAGTTTCATCATCAGTGAACGGGGCAACCAATGGAGATTTCTGCTTTACACAGTGGAAAGTTTTAAGTTGAAAGGAGAATGCGGCAGGGGTATACTTTCAATGATACCAAAGCTTGCTTATCAAAGACATGGGTTGCTAGTAGAAGACTCGGTCAGGTAGAGGAAGCTTTAATAAAGAGGGGGAAGTCTATATTAACCAAAATTCTGTAAACATACACCTGTCACACAAGCTAGGCACTTATTAAAGAGTATTGTTGAAGGGCCAGTGTAGTTGTTATCCTTGATTCATTAAAAAAGGCATGAAATACGATTGACTGTGTCTTTGAAAAGCAGGAAAAAATACAACATGGTTGCACTTAGACTCTACAAACTACTTCATTTGTTGCATTTTGTTTGGGAGTAATACACGCGTGCGTGTCTAAATTTAAATCTAAAAACAAACAAACAAACTACAGCTATTGCAAACGTTTTTTTTCTCAAGGACAAAGTTCAAAATAGCTTTAAGCAAGGGGGTTCGGGGGGTTAGATAATAAAAGTTGTTCATACGAATGTGGGGAAAGAGAAAGAAGAAAGAGGGTGTTATTATTGGCGGAAGATAACCTCCATTCAGTTTAATTTATCAATTTCGGATTACAACATGCCATTTTGACTACATTGGCTATTTCCTGGAATTGTCATGGTTTTACTTTCTTAAATCAGAAATTGATTGTGACCTCTATTTGTGCCGCGTCGTTTTAACGTAATAACCACGAGGTATTACCAAATACAGTGAGATTGAAAGCACCCCAGTCGCGTCATACAGTAGCGTGAGTTTGCTGGTGGTTTGGTTAGTTTTTGCTTTATTAGCATCACGCGTTTTTGCTTACGGGAAAAAAAAACAAAAAAAATAAAAAAATGTTGGGGTAAAGAAACTAAACTATTACACAAAGACCCCAACAAATGTTCCACATTTTAGCATAATACAGACTAAATGGAACAATTAGAGTTCCAGCTTAGAAGGCACTTATAAATAATTCGAGGAGGGGATAACAAAGCGAAGTATAAATTAGCACAAGAGGGTGTTCGCTCTTAGTACATATAGATCACCTTATAGTAAATGCTGAGAGGGGTTAGTGGCAAAGTACCAGTGAATAATTTGCGGAATATCTTGGCTCTTCATAAGGCTTTTTACTCTTTTTTTGGAAGAGGTTATGCTATAGTTCATTTTCTTGCCTGGGCTTTAACAAACAAACAAACAAACAAAGCAAAACATTAGTCTCTAATTTGTTCCGGCTGGTGGCTAAGAATAATAAAAGGACAAAGCCAAAATTTCTCCACCTTCATGAAAGAATTTTTCCCCAGTTTTCCATTTTCTAAACAAAAAACAACTTATTTTGCAAATAGTGCATTTGGTAAAGACGTATTTAAATTTTGCTGGGGTTGTGGTGGTTGGGGTTTTCTTTAGGATCTTGTAGATCCATTGTTGTGTTATGTTGTGTTGTGTCATTGTTTGATGTTAACATATGGTAAAAATTGTTCCAGATTTGAATTGAGACGAAGGAGAAACTAAAAAGTTTATGCCAAGGAAAAAACCAGAAAAGACTAAAAACATAAAAAATAAAAGCATTCCGTTCAAAGGAAAACGAAACATTTTGTGAGAACATAAGAAATCAGAAAATCCGATGTCGTAAGTACAAGTAACTTCATTAAGGAAGTGACTGAAGAGCGTGCAATGAAAGCCCAACATTTTTACCGTTTAAGCTTACAAAGGATGGTGGCGGGAAACAGAATGCCACTATCTCTCTCCACACAGTTCCACAAAAGTAAAAGAGCTTCTTTGGATAAATGCTTTATCTTTGAGCAAATAATCCTTAAGCTTATTCCCGTCCATTCTGGTATCGAGAATTTTCAGTTTCTGACTTTTATGCAGAACATACTTTTTTCTGGATTCGGAATAATCATATCACATTATGTTACTTGTGTATCAGCATACTTTGTCTACGAAAAAACACAATCCCTCGCTCGGCAGAAGAATATTCTTCGAATTATTATTTCGGCTGTTCCTGGGAGCAGTTATCTTTTATTTATTTCTTTTTGTGCAGCAATTTCAGCCTTATATCCTCGAAGCATGCAGGGTAGACACTACCTTCAGTCATACGTGTGTGTGTGTAAAAGAAGCCATAAACCATAAGCAAACTCAGTCTAAACTTTGCTATCGCGGTGGAATCTCTTGCTTTTCAAATACGGCATTTCATACATGGATGTCATTCTTTTTAAAAATTTAGTTTAATATATATCTGGGCAAAACAAAGAAATTAGGCATTCGTCTTACCTGCATGAAATTTCTTTTTTAACCCCTTATACAGCTGTGCCGTATGCTAATTTTTACAGCCAAAACTTACTACAATAAAGCTATATTGTCCCAATTTGTATCGTGTTTTACATAAGAACAATGCGTGTATTGTTTATCCCTTCTTTTTTAGATCTTTGCAAGTGGTGGGGAAAAACAATATAATAAAATACCATACAATATACAACATACAATAAGCTATTTACTAAATTTCGGAAGTTTATATTGTCTTTCTTAGTAAACAAGTATCAACAATAAAGCTTGTTTTTCTTTACTGTAACAAACATATGGTGATTTGCCGCCGTGTAAGAAAAGCTCTCCTCCCCCCTCACCCAAATTCTGCAATATAAATAGACGGACAAATTTCCCTTGATCAGCTACTTCTTCAATTTTACTCTCCCCTCATTATCATCTGTTGTTTCACCTGTTCATTCAATTGTTTTGCAACATCTTAGCTACTACTATCAAACATGTCGTCGAGAATTGAGCGTATGTTCTCTGGCCCAGCCTTGACATTGGCCAACTACTTGGACAAGCTTCCCAAGATATACAATGTCTACTTCATCGCCAGTATCTCCACTATTGCTGGTTTGATGTTTGGTTTTGACATTTCATCCATGTCAGCCTTCATTGGTAGCGACCCATATAAACACTACTTTAATACTCCAAGCTCGACAATTCAAGGTTTTATCACTGCGTCTATGGCGTTGGGGTCCATTTTTGGGTCTATTGCTTCGGCATTTGTTTCGGAACCATTTGGAAGAAGATTGTCTCTTATCATATGTTCATTATTATGGATGATTGGTGCTGCTGTTCAATCGTCATCACAAAATAGAGCCCAATTAATCATTGGTCGTATAATCTCTGGTTGGGGTGTTGGCTTTGGTTCATCCGTTGCTCCTATTTATGGAGCAGAGATTTCGCCCCGTAAAAGAAGAGGTACTGTTAATGGGTTTTTCCAATTTTCCGTCACTTTAGGTATCATGATTATGTTCTATATCTGCTATGGTACCGGTCAGATCAATGGTGTTGCAAGTTTTAGAATAGGCTGGGCAATCCAGATCATTCCTGGTTTGCTATTATTCTTTGGATGTCTTATTATTCCTGAATCACCACGTTGGTTGGCCAAACAAGGTAAATGGGAACAGGCTGAAGAAATTGTTACAAAGATTCAAGCCCATGGAAACCATGAAGATCCTGAAGTTTTGATTGAAATTGCTGAAATCAAGGAACAATTGTTGATTGACCAAGAAGCCAAAACTGTCGGTTATGGAACCTTGTTTAAGAAAAAGTTTCTTAAAAGAACAGTTACAGCCATCTTTGCCCAGATTTGGCAACAATTAACCGGTATGAATGTTATGATGTACTACATTGTCTACATTTTCCAAATGGCTGGATACACTGGAAACACCAATTTGATTGCTTCATCAATTCAATACGTGTTAAACGTTGTTTGTACAATTCCGGCATTGATCTGTTTCGACTACTTTGGAAGAAGGCCCGTGTTGATGCTTGGTGCACTTTTTATGTTGATCTTCCAATTTGGTCTTGCTGGTATTTTGGGCAATTATGCTGTTCCCTGGCCTGATTCAGGAACCGAGTCTGTTACCATCAGAATTCCCGACACCAACAAGCCAGCTGCTAGAGGTGCTATTGCATGCTGCTACTTGTTTGTTTGCTCGTTTGCGTCCACCTGGGGTGTTGGTATCTGGGTCTATTGTTCAGAAATCTGGGGTGACAACAGAATATCGCAAAGAGGTAACTCATTATCTACTTGTGCTAATTGGTGTTTCAATTTTGCTATTGCCATGTACACACCATCTGGTTTCAAGAACATCAATTACAGAACATACATCATCTACGGTGTCTTTTGTCTTGCCATGGGTCTTCATGTGTTTTTCGGATTCCCCGAGACCAAAGGAAAGAGATTGGAAGAAGTTGGACAAATGTGGGAAGAAAATATTCCAGCTTGGAAATCAGCTTCTTGGAGACCAACTATTCCTATTGATCCAGATTCAGAGTTAGCTAGAAAGTTGAGTGTTGAGCATAAGGAGACTGGTTCTCAATTGGACGAAAAAGTTCATGATGTTGACACCAACTCTGTTTGAGAAGGTGAGAAATTGCTAGTACGGTATTGTTTCAATTCTTGATTCTTAATGAGTTTTACTATCTTTTTCGTATAATTATGTTTAGTCTAACGATGAATGATTTTGAAAAATCTTGATGCTGTAGGAATTTGCAATTGTTCTCTTCTTCTTTTTGCTTGGTTTTCGGGTTAAAACTTAACTCCGATATTTTCTTTTTGGTTTGTACAAAACTATTGGGCCACCTAATGAAATCATGCATTTGAAAACGGGCCATAAAACTCATAAAACTCATCTCTCTATCGTCAATTGACTCTTTACTATCAACAATTTCACTTTTTCTTAGAAGGACTGTTTCCTAAGACGTGTTCAATAGCAGAGCAATATTTGCAGTGCATTTGCCATTAGATCCAAAGCACTTGAAATTAGGAACTGAGCAGTTAATATGGATTTCTGCTTTTTCCTTATAGGATGTATGTACGCCCACTATTCCTGAATCTATGGACCTATACCAATTTCAAAACACCACAGAGAATATACAATTCAATGGCATACTAACTTTAATCCAGTTCAGGAATTCAACAATGAATTATCAGATATAGGAAACATTCCTTGTTATTGTGGACGTTGCCACAACCAAAGTGCTTTTGCTGTACGTACGATAAACACAGTTACACTTTTCTTCATACCTGTCCTTCCATACTATTTTTCAAAGAGATTGGTTTGTAATATATGTGGCAATACTGGAGATTTAGATGATGTGATTATAGATCAGTTGAGAAGTGGTTATCCTGTGGCTATAGTGGGGTAAGACTTGCGACACTAATTTGGCTGTGATTTTTCTAGAGTATTAGCTCATGAAAGAGTTGAAACAAAGGTGTCATATATAGGTGTTTGAAGATGTTTAGGAAAGTGCATATAATTCACTTAATCTTTGACAAAAGGGATTAGCCGTAGGTATTGCAAAAACTCTACAGATGGAGCTTGTTACTTACTAAATCAGATGCCCATTGACTCTGGATATTCAGTAAGTGTATTATCTGGTCTGTCACTAAATTAGTGCCCCTTCTTCCAAAACATTGATTGTTGAGAACAGCTGTATTCCTCTAAGCTATCACAAGTAAGAGCAATCGATTAAAGAACAGCACCACGAGTACAGCACAGAGGGTGTACTTAGCTTCCGGGTATTGAGTCATTAACATGGAATTCGCGGCTCGTCTAATCTTAATAATTACGCGGCAATTACATCCGAGCTTTCCCTTTCATGAATATGAGAAAAGCCAAAGTAGTTACACAGCAACAAACTGCCACAAGTTAATAATCACATGAGCAACCGTTTGCCCCACTCCTTTTATGCAAGTCATTTTACACAATAGTGACCCCAGTAATTCCGAGCTGGTAGTAACACAATAAAAAGCCGTTTAAAACATATGATCTCCTTTGGGCAAAGAAAGCAACAAACAAAGAATTCTATTGTTCAAACTATGGAGTATTATGTAAGCACATTTTGCATCTGGTCACGGAAAACTTCAGGTAGGTGCCAACAATGTTTGCAGCCTGGGTTTTGATCGGTTGAAATGGATAAATCTTGTAACTATGGTCTGATTCTACTCAAATGGCACCATTTTGCAACAATTACATCATTGACACTGCTAAAAGGTCAATATCACCATTTGATTTAGCATTGAGGGAAGAAGGATGGTTTTCTTGACTGGAATATTTGGCTCTACCAACCTATATGGAGTTGTTGCAAAATGGTGCCAAAAAGTTTTAGCACAAGTAGGCGTATGTTAAGTTAATTTATATTCTTTCAACAGATTGGCTATAGAAATGACGGTTATTCTCTACGCATGAGAAATTAATTCTTTGAATGTTTGGTTTTGTACCTCCTATTTTATCCATTTTGATAGTTTTCTGTGACTTTTTTTAACCATTTGAAGGGGAGACGGTTACAATCATCCTTCCATTTGTTTCTTTGCTTCTGGTAATTGACTGCTATGATAGGCACAGCGATAATATAAATAGATGCCATATCATGTCATATTTTAGTACCACTGCTTCTTCTGCAAACTCATTTTTTACTTCGGACTGGTCCAAACGTAAACTATTTGCAACCATTAACTAAATACGCGCACTACAATTAGAAGAGACTGCTACTACTATCCCATCAAAAGAATGAGCTTTACACAACTTGCAGATTTGGTTAAACGTAACCGTGCCATTGACATTAACCCACCTCCTTCAGAATCAGACATCAACTTAACCAGCCACGGTAGTGATTGGTTGTGGGCAGCCTTTTCGGTGTTTGCTTTGCTTGCAATTTGCCATGGATTCATCTACAGCTTGACTAGTGTGCGCAAAAGCGGCATCAAGAAATCGTTGTTGACAATCCCCTTGTTCACCAACGCAGTTATGGCGTTTGCTTACTACACGTATGCTTCCAACTTGGGTTACACCTGGATCGACACCGAATTTCATCATGTGTCCACCGATAGAGGACTTTTTGCACGCCAAATCTTCTACACCAAGTTCATTGGCTGGTTCTTGAGCTGGCCATTGGTGTTGGTCATCTTCACCGTGACGACGCATACCAGCTTGACCGACGACAGAGAAGATATTTTGAAGAAGGCGTTGCAGGTGTTTTCCGCCATCTTTACCAGGTTCTTGACAATCGAGGTGTTTGTTTTGGGTTTGTTGATTGGTGCTTTGATCAGGTCGACCTACAAGTGGGGTTACTTTACTTTTGCTACAGTGGCTTTGTTGTTCACCATCTATCTCATTTGCGTTGACTTGCACAGAAGCTTCCAGTCTGTCAACAAGAGTTTAGTTGCTAACTTGGTTATTATTCTTGAGATTGTTGTTTGGATCTTGTATCCGGTGTGCTGGGGTTTGTCAGAGGGTGGTAATGTGATCCAACCGGACTCGGAAGCTGTGTTTTACGGTATTTTGGACCTCATCAACTTTGGATTTGTCCCGGTGATCTTGACCTGGATTGCCGTCAACACCATCGACGAAGATTTCTTCAGCAAGGTCTGGCACTTCCACTTGAACAACAATGTAACCACAGAACCCGATGCTGAGAAGTCTGTGGGCGACAACACTCCCAGACACTCTGGCGACACGACAGTGGCACCGGCAGGGGTGCACCAAGAAGAGGAGGAGCATGTCTAGATCAGGTGAGAGAGATGGTCGAGGGGAAGAGGGAGAATAGATTCTGGTCGTTATAGCCACCAGAGGTATGACAGTTTGCTTTCCATTTCATTTCGGGAGAATGATTCTAATTTCGTATACATTTTAATCTTTTAATATCAATGATTTGTTTGACATTGTTTTGTAGTTGTAATGTGTAAAGCGGCACAGTTGTGTCTTGTGCAACGAAGTTTGCTTGTGGCCTGTGCGCAAACAAAAGACACAATGGAAAATAATCTCGAATTTCATCTTGATCATCGACTTTATTTTTCAACCACACTCCATCCACTCTTGCTCCCAGCCCTATAACAAAGACCAATGCCACCCAAAACAGCAGCATCTTCCACTTCGTCGACAGCTAAAGTGCAACCAAACTCACCGGCACAGCAATTGACAGCGCTTCTCAAGACACAACAATTCTACTGGTACGTGGGCCATGCGTTGGCCATCTTGTTCTTTGCTTTGAGTTCGATTACTGCTATCTTGTTCAGAGAAGCCGCCTCCTTGAAGTACTACCGCTTCACTTTGTTGTCCATCATTGTTACCTACCTAATTGTATTGAAACAGGTGTATCTCAAGCACAACGCACCAAAAGTCTCCGCAGACAGGTTGGTCAGAGACGAGAACGTCCAGTACTTGAGCTTGGCCGTCATATTCTACATTGCTAGCTATATACTCAACAGCCAAGCGCAAACCGTGTTGTACTCCTACATCATTTTTTCCGTTTTCCATGCGCTCACCTATTTCCAAAACCACATATTGGCAATCGCCGTGCCTTCGATTCCGGCACAGCAACGGGTCAATGCACGCATCAACCACTTCACCACTCAGTTCAACCAACCTGCACTAGCCGCTGCGTCGACTGTGGAGATTGTGTTGGCGGTGACCACAGCCTTTGACGTGTTGTTTAACACACTTTTGTTGCTTTTGAAACGGAACATTGTCGAGTACGCTACCAAGGTGTTCCTCTTGGTTACAGTGGTTGTGTTTAACAAGCTTAGATATGACAACAACCAGTTCACCAAATCTGCCGTCAGCCAATTGGACCAGACATTGACCGGATACGTCAACCGGTTGAACAATGCACAATTGACTCAGAAGTACTTTGGGTTGAGAGAGAAGTTGATTCACTATTTAGCTTTGGTGCAGTTGCCTAAAGCAGAGAAGAAGACGCAATAAAAGTTTTCACCCATATTGTATAGTCTTGAGATAAAGAGAATGTCTGTGTATCATATAGTTTAAACAACATAACCAAAGTTGACAAAACACGGTAATCTCTAACAAAGTTCTCTCTCTTTAACTTATTCCTAATTGAAGGCACCTTCACTCAAAATGCTACTCAATGACGTTCACTAGATTCATTTGATATAATGTGGGCAAGCCTCTATTGAGCCAAGTGCACGCGAAGTAAGAAACAAAAAACAAAAGAGAAAAAAATCTCATCTCATTTGATTGTTCACAACTCCACCTTAATGTCCAAGAAACTCAAAGTCGACAAAATGGTTAAAATCTGTACTCATTCTGGTTCATTCCATGCTGATGAATCTTTGGCTGTATACATGTTGAAGCTTTTACCTCAATTTCAAAATGCTGAACTCGTGAGATCAAGAAACCCTCAAGATTGGGAATCGAGTGATATTGTCGTTGATGTCGGGGGAAAATATGATGGAACCAAGTTCTTTGATCACCATCAACGTGAATTTGATACCACATTTAATGAAAAATATCAAACCAAGTTGTCTTCTGCTGGTTTAGTTTACAAGCATTTTGGTAAAGATATCATCACCGAAGTTTTGGGATTGTCTTCCGATGACAAGAATGTGGAATTGTTGTACGACAAAGTCTACAAGGAGTTTATCGAAAGTTTAGATGCAAATGATAATGGAATTAGTAACTATCCTAAAGATGTCGAACCAAAGTTTAATGACAGGAATATCACATTGCCGTCCATAGTCTCGAAATTAAACCCAAGATGGAATGAAAGCTGTACTGATGCCGATTATGACCGTCAATTCAATGTTTCTAGCGAGTTGGTGGGTAAAGTGTTTGTCAATTTGTTGGAAGGATATGGTAAGGGTTGGCTTCCTGCCAAGTCTATCGTAGAAGAGGCCTTTAACAAAAGGTTTGAGGTTGATCCTAGTGGCGAAATCCTTGTATTGTCACAGTTCTGTCCCTGGAAAGAACATTTGTACGCAATTGAAAAGGAGAATAATGCTGAAGGTGCTATCAAGTTTGTCTTGTTCAAAGATTCTAGCAGTAAATGGAGAGTCTCAACCGTGAGTGTAACTTCAAGTTCATTCGAATTCAGATTGGGATTACCTGAACCTTTGAGAGGATTGAGAGATGAAGAGTTGAGTGAAAAGGCCGGTGTAGAAGGTTGTATTTTTGTTCATGCTGCTGGGTTTATTGGAGGTGCAATCTCGGAAGAAGCTGTTTTGAAATTGGCTAGAATGTCCTTGAAAAAGGATTAAGCTGAGAGCACAAACACAATGCGCTTCCTAGCGTTATATTTATTTGCATGGCTCAAGTGGAAGTGAGCTTTATTAGGCAATCTTTTGCGTATTTCCGTTCTGTGAAAATTTATTTGTGATGAAGCTGTGCCAAGAATTTTAGTTTGAACGAATTGAGTCTATTGTTGTAGACAAAGCGGATTCTTTAAGAGAAGCCTCTTTTTCTCAATAGAAGGAACGATGTTGTATCTCGTTTGTACAGCTTATCAGTCACAATTGTTTATTTATTTATAGAACAAATTTAAAAAATAAAAGTACACCCTAATTTTTGTTCATGCTGGAATCGAGGTCCAGAGAATGTTTTCTTTGTCAGTTGTCTTTGATTCAACAATTATAGAGGCACTATTTGAGCCTCACCGAGTGGGCTATGTTTGTACTATGGATCTAGAAGAGCTACAAATACCTCAAAACATAGCACGCTACATCAGCAAACACTGCCAAGAAATTATGTGATTAAGACCAAAAACTATTCGTCACCTGTTTTGCATCATTAACAGGAGCGATCGTATACAAATGCGAATTGGTATACAAATTTTTCTTGGGCATATTGAAGAAGACGCAATTACTCAAAACAGGAAGAGAATTGTTGCGCTTTGGAAGACTCACGCGTTAGAAAAATAAAAAAGAGCATCTGACGTTAGACCTATTTTACCGATTGACGGATATGGGCTAATCCACATCTTACAGTAACTATTAGGTGATGTAGGCAAATTTGTATTCACCATTGATTCAGACTGCTCGGAAATTAATCCACTTTTCTGCGCTACTGAACCCCTTTTCATTATTTAAAGAGTGTGCATAATTGTTCAAATTAGGCTTTATTTTTTGCGCGAAAAGCTTTTTTTTGCGCAATTGTAGTTTTATTTCAAAATATTAGTAATATTTCAACAAAGCAGAGACGAAAGTTGAAAACCAAAAAAAATTTCTGCAAGACAAAACTAAAATTTAAGCCATACTTTCTTCAGCAATATAAATTTAGAGCCACAACCCGCTCATTTATGATCCCAGTCTTATTCCTTCCCTTTCAAAAGCATATGTCAAAGTTTACTGCTATATAGCATCGAGTCAAAACAATACAAAAAGAAAAGAAAAGGAAAGGAAGCTGAACTATGAAGGATTCAAATGTACTTGAAATCCCTTTGGACCAAAGGGTTGGCTTAAAAGTGCGCAATTTGAGTGTTGCCGTAAAGTCAGAAGTTAAAAAGAAGGAGCCTTATCATGTGGATGAAAAGGATAATTTCAACGGAAAATCATCGAGAATACTTAATGACATATCATTCGATGTCAATAGTGGAGAGTTGATTGCCTTGATGGGAGGCTCGGGAGCAGGTAAAACCACTTTATTGCATACACTATCGCAGAGGACAAATGTGAAAAACAAGAAATTGGAGTATTCGGGAAGTATTCAATACACAAGAACCAATGACAGCATCCAGTATATTAAGCACGCTTATCTACTACAGACCGATTTCTTCCTTCCTGGTTTAACTGTCTTGGAAACTTTCCAAACACAAGCAGATTTAAGGTTACCACCAAATGTGAGCCAAGAGGAGAAACAAGAGTTGATAGATTACATTATTGATGTGTTGGAGTTGGGGCATTTGAAAAACACCAGGATTTGCGAATTTTCACTGCATGCAACAACATTATCTGGTGGTGAACAAAGAAGAGTGAGCTTGGCAATTCAGTTGTTGTCCCGTCCTTCACTATTGTTTCTTGATGAGCCAACCACAGGGTTAGACACCTCATCCTCATTAAAGTTGGTGAAATTGCTACATAAGCTTGCTTCCAATACATACGGCATAACTGTTATCTTATCGATCCACCAGCCTCGGCCAGAGATTTGTGACTTATTTGACAAGGTATGCTTATTGACAAAAGGTGGCCGATTGGTTTACTTTGGAAACCTAAAGGATGAAGCCATGAGCTATTTTTCGAAATTGGGTTATCCACCGGAGATGAACCAGCACATCAGTGACCATGTAATGAGCTTGTCTGTGAAAGATTCAAGTACTATCGACAACGAGCTGAGGTCAGCCGCAAGAATCAATCACTTAGTGGAAACTTGGAAGAATGATCACTATTACGAATACAACAGTACACCAAAAAAGGATCAAGCTCTGTTTTTGGCAAATTTGAAATTGTTTGCGACCCCCAAGCAGGACCAGATTTCCTTTATGCAAGAGCTTATAGTTCTGACAAAGCGGACATTCAAACTTACTTATCGTGATATCCAAACCCTCTTGGTGTTAAACCTTGGCTTTGTATTTCTAGCTGTAACGCTCGGATGGATGTTTTATCGTCCTAAGCATGATCTTGCTGGTATTAGGTCCTTAGTTTCTGTGCAATATGTTGTTTTGGAAGTGGTGGGATTCTGTGCCATGTTTATCGAAGTTGAAAGACTCTGGAATACGGATGGTGCTTACTTTTTCCGTGAGTACCAGGAACACGTTTTGAGTATTCCAGTTTTTATAATATCAAGAAGATTAGCCAAATTTTTGTTGGAAGACTTGCCCATGACGATCATTTTTTCAGTCATTACATTCTTTATGTGGGGACTCCGGGTAGGAGGTGGGTCACACTTTGGAATTTACTTTACTGTGACATTACTTGTGCAATTGGCATGTATGAGCAGTACTTTGTTGATATACGCCATATCTTCAAGCATGCCCATGTCGACCTTGTATATTAACTTGCTTTATCAAGTTCAGAATTCTGCTTCGGGTTATTTTGTCAATGCTAAAACCATGCCGGTTTATGTGCGGTGGGTGAAATACTTGGCATACTTTTGGTACGGTTTTGGTGCATTAACTGCAAATCAGTTTACAGATTGGGTTGGAGATTGTCCTTATGATGATGCGGATAGTTGTGCCGAGTATCATGGTAATGTCCAGTTACAAATTTGGGGATATCCTCAAAACTGGATTGCTGAACCAATTGGTATATTGATTGTATGGGTCACTGGATTTATAGTTCTTTCAGGTGTTGCTTTGAAGGTAAAGAATCTTGATGTGGGTATGGCCAAGACTAAAGCGAATAAACTTGGAGATGAAGACGAAACAAATGATGATGACAAGGAAAAGAAAGAAGAGGTAACTGATGATATTGTACAAGATGAACCAGCATTCAACTCGAATCCAACAAGCGCAACATGTATCGCTGCTAATGACAACTACCCCATTGATCTCGAGCTACACAATATACATTTGTCAATTAAGAAAAAGAAATTCTGGGGCAAACAGGTGGGTACCAAAACATTATTAAACAATGTTAATGCTGTTTTCAAGGCAAATTCGGTAAACTGTATCATGGGTCCATCTGGTAGTGGAAAGAGTACTTGTCTCAACTACTTGTCCAACCGGTTGGACAGGTCGGCGTCGTTTATACCATCAGGAGATATTAAAGTCAATGGTGTGCAAGATATTTCGCGCAGTGAGTTGAGTTGTATTTCAGCATACGTTACTCAACATGATAGCTCCTTGATTTCCAATTTGACTGTACGTGAAACATTATACTACCAAGCCAAGTTACGTTTACCTTTGGACCAACATTCATCTATTCCAAGGATTGTCAACAAATTGATTAGACAAACGGGATTGGTTGACTGCGCTGATACATTAGTTGGCGATGATTATGCCAAAGGTTTATCAGGTGGAGAAAAGCGGAGATTAAGTATTTCAATTCAGTTACTATCGAAACCTAAAGTATTGTTTTTAGATGAACCGACATCGGGGTTAGACTCGTCTACAGCAAAGGCCATTTTTAACTTGTTATCAGAATTGGCGATAGAAAATGGGACAACTGTGATTTTGACCATTCATCAACCAAGTGAAGAAATATTTTTAAGTTTTGGCAGTTTGTTGTTTTTGGGTAAAGGTGGCAATGTCATTTATAATGGAAGTGCTCATGGAATTGTTGAGTATTTGGCAAACCTTGGGTTTGCTAATCATAGTCAATTGAATATTGCTGATTACATCTTGGATTTAATTAGTCATAATTCTGAGGATGACGACCCACAAGCGGTTGATAATAGAACTGAAATGTTGATTAACAATTGGGCTTGCAATCGGGTGCATCAAAATGATAATGAGAAAGTTGTAGCCAGTGACCAACGTCAAGTAATTGATTTGTCCCAATTCTATTTCCAAAGACTACCATTCATTCATACATTTGCTACAGTAACCAACAGACAATTTTTGACATCATTTCGATCAAAGGATAGTATCATTAGTAGAATTGGGCAGACAATATTTCTTGCAATTGTCCACACATTGTTTTTTGCACCATTGAAAAACACGCAAGATGGTATTAACAACAGATTAGGTTTGATTCAAGAAGTGTTGAATCTATATTTTGTTGGGTTCGTCAACAATATCAGTTTATACCCATTTGAAAGAGACTTGTTTTACCAGGAGTATAAGGATGGCATTTATGGAGTATCAGAATTTGGAATATCCTATTTACTCAATGAATTTCCAACCGAAATCATACCAAGCTTCTTTTTCGCGGCATTGATTGTGTTTGTTTGTGGGTTACCTCGAAATGCCGCCATGTATTTTGCCATGTTTGCCACTGGCTTTGTATCGATAAATTGTGGTGAATCGATTGGTATTTTCTTCAACAGTATCTTCAAACACATGGAAGTTGCTACCAACGTATTGTCGAATCTTATCATTATTGCTGTTTTCATGGGTGGTACAATGTCGTTGCATATGCCCAATTTTTTCAAAGCCATGAATTATTTGAGTCCCATGAAATACGCGGTGTCGATATGTGCTAATTTGGGATTCAAGAGCCAAATGTTTTCATGTGGTTCTACTGGTGAATGTAGCTTACAAACAGGACACGATGTATTGCTGTACTACAATTTGGAAGCAAACATTGGTGCTATGTTTGGTGGCTTATTTGCCTGTCTTGTGGTGTATAGATTGCTTGCCATTGGTTCAATTTATGTCAGGGTCAAATGGTTTTAATGTTGGGGCTGTATTAATATAGAATTTGTAATAATAGCCGTTTCTTCCAAAGAAAAGTTTTCATTGCTTTGTAAGTGTCTCAAAGTCCTATTGTGGCTTTTTGCACCACCCACCCTTTGTATAAGGCGGGGAAGAGAATCTTAGGTGTATTTACGAATATTACACAAATTTGCCGTTTTCATCTCGGATGTATATGTCCGAACAGATGAAAGTTCTGTATCTCCGAATGAAATCTCTCCTTGATAGTTTTTGCGGGTTTCCAAAATGAACCACGCTGTTCTAATAAATAGAAGCCACAAAGAGCTACTATTTATTATAAACGTTTGCCGGATGTTTCTTTCTGTTGAGTATTGAAGATGGGTGGTGTAATGTGTGTATGGGAAAGTAAAGTCCGAAAATTAACAAAAAAAAAATCAAATTAAGCAAGGAGGATTTAATTTTGTGCAACTTAAATAAACATCCAGAAAAGGGATGGAGGCAGTCCCACCACCTGGAAACACGTCGAGGTTGTTAACGGCCTTCTGAAAGAGTATGGGCCCTTTTCCATATTCATTGCAGGTGTCGGACCTCTTATTGGATTGTAAGGGAATAGATGTTGGGTAGCTCTGGTTTCGTAATTGGATTGTGTGGGCAATTGGAAAGGAGGTACAAAATATTATTTTCTTCGTGATTTTACAGTACTACAATGTATAATAATCAATCAATCAATTGATTGATTAATCATTTCATATACCGAGACATTCTAAGCAGCCCAGGATTCTAATACTTGATTCTCTTGTGTACTAATTTCTAACTGGTGTCTTAACCAAATTTTAGAAAAGGAAGCATAAAGAACACAAAGGAAGGGACATAATAATTGTTTTTTGTTATCTATCCATCTCTCCCTCTGTATTATCCAAAAGAGCCACAACTGAATTAAATATCAACAACAAAACTAAAAACTAAAAACTAAAATAAACAAAAACGAAAAACAATTTCCAAAAGATCTATAACTTATCTTTTCTTTACAAAGGTAAAGTACTACTCAACGACTATTCTACAGAGGAGTAGTTAACCATCATCAAATAATAACTACCGTAATAGTATCCACATCCATAAGCAACTGTTCACCTTACGAAAACAACATAATCAACCAACCATACTTCCAATCCCCCCCTTTGTGCTTCCCTATTTCTAGATGTATCAGTATACAATAGAAGCACCGACTGATGCGAACACGGTGCAAATCACTGGTACTTTTGACAACTGGTCCAAGAGTCTTCCAGAAATTACTACAGAACCGTTTGAACAAACTATTGAACTTGCTGAGAAACAAGATATTGTATTCAAGTTTATCATAGATGGCAATTGGACAACCCTTGATTCATACCCTGTTGTTACTGATGAACATGGAAATGCTAACAATGTTGTGAATGCTGAGCATTTAATCTTGGTTGAAGAGGAAAAGGAAGAAGATCCTAAAATTAAGGACAGTTTGAAACTTGATGATGAAGGAAGTGAGGTTGTCCAAGTGGAGAATCCTGTTGTTTTAGCTGTAACTGACGGAGAAGAAGAATCAAGCAATGTCAAGGATAAGGTGATCGATGACGGTAAGCGTGGTGGTACAAAGGTTAGCCAAGATCTGTTTGCACTTCACGAAGAGGAAGAGAATATTAAGGAATATGAGGCACCTGAATCAGCTAAAAATGAAGCTCTGGCTGCTCACACTGGTACTGGAATTGATCCTACATCATCTTCGTCCTCTTTTGCAGCAGTTTCAAGTCCACCCACCTCTTCCGATTTTGAGCATATTAATGGGTCACCCAGTGCAGAGGAAACCACTACCCATGAGAGTAAAACACTTGGCAGTCAAATTGGCAGTCAAATTGGCCCTCAAGAAACTAAGTCCACTACAAAGCCGCCAGCTACTGCTATCTCTTCAACCACAAATGCAACTGCTGGGAAGAAGCCAGAAAAACCCACTTTGTTGGCGCATCCTTCAGAATCTACTCTTAGAGCACCAGCATCATCAGGTAACCATACACCAGTTGGTGAATCAAGCTCGTCATCAACCACATCTAACGCACCAGAGTCGTCTAACTATCCACCAAGAATCCCTGGATCGTTTGATAGTAGACCACAGCTTGAGAGACAAACTAGTGGTGGTAAGAAACGAGAAAGTCTTATTTCCAAATTCAAGAGTTTGTTCAAATAGAGGATAAGGGTGATTGTGGTGGATACAAGGGTGGAAGAAAGATATGGCTAGCTATTAATTTTTAATCAAGGGTGCAGATAAATTGCACTCTCGTAAATTTACAACAGTTAATTTACACAGCTTTGCCTTGGCTGTAATTGTAATAGCCTTTTGTTTATTTTGTAGCTTTTATACTAATATATTAAACAAACAATAAAAGCGTAGTTGTATGAGAGTCAAAGAAAATGCCCCTAAACCTGCAGCTCATGTTTGCAGAATTAGAAACCATGTCGAGATTTAATATAGACTCGAATCTTGTTATTTAAACACTAACCTCCAGCTAATTAATAATTCTATCCATCATATCATCGCCCAAAAGTTTCTCTCCTCAATTCTTCTTTTTCTTTTTCTTATTCTTCTTCTTTGATCCTGTGGCTGTTGTATTCTCTTGAGCAACAGGTGTATTCTCCTTACTTACAACAGCATCATCACCACCACCACCAGTAGCATTGGTCTTGTTTTCTTCAACTGCAGCCTCCGGCACATACTTGGTATTCGACATCAAACTAGCCAATCCCAACCCATTACTGTTAACTCCTTGTGGACCCAATACGTTTAATATACGACTGAATTCCTTTTGCTTTGTAGTTTTGTATTTCAAACATTTACCACTATGAGGTTCGAATAATTTGATATTTATCGTGTGTGTCGATGGTGCATGTTTTGTACTGGATGAAGCCTCATTATCAACCTTGGAGGGTGATTTCTTGTTTGATAAATTTTTGGCGGTGTTGGAATAAGTTATTGAAAGTGTTGTTGATGGGAAATTGGCAACCAAGTCAGTGGACAATTCAAAGAATTCATCTAAATCTTTGGTCGTCGGCATTGCACTTGTGATTTGTATGTATGTATGTATATACGTATGTGTGTGTGTGTGTATGTCGGTATGGGAAAAAGATTTGAAATTTGGTTTCAAAAATTTTCTGCCATGAAATATTTCGATTTCGATTGTGTCTCTGTTCAAGTAAATTGTTTAACTTATACAAATTGTATATCAACTACTTGTTATATTTACATTACAATTCTACCTGTATCTGACCCCAGGACCCTTCTCTTGTCTTGCCTGCAACTTTTGCTGACGTTTACTTAACCCAGACTTGTCTTTCTTTGCAGCGGCACCGGCATCACCATCTGCACCTGCTGCTTGTTGTCCCCCACCACCCGATTTCTTAAAGAAAGGCAAGACAAATCCAGCGATTTTATAAGTAGCATATCCCGGTATCATAGCATACCCCCACCATACTTTATTACTTCCGAAGAGAACCATCAATACATCTAAAATCCAAGTCAAGTAAATGACATCAAAACAATATTCGAACAATGTACCCTTTTGTAAAATATCAGATCCTGCAGTAATCACTTTCCCATCGGGACCAATTTTGGGTAATCCTGATGACTCTAATACATATTGAAGAACAAAACTAGGTGTGGAAAGTAAAATATAAAAGATGGATCTTGATGGACGACGGAAGTAAAAAATTGCAATGATTGCAAGTAAATTGATAGTTGCTGCAATGTATCGAAATTGGTACAATATAGACTTGTTTCTGGTGGCTAGTTTCTTCTGACTACCTGCTGACATCTTAGGCGAGGGATGATTATTAGATACAGTTTGACTTTGAAGTGAAGGCAGAGGCGTAAAGTAGTAGTGTGACAACTAAAATTGTGAAATTTTGTTTGTTATTATTTTTATGAGAACTACTGTTGATCCTGGGAACAAACTGGCCAAATGACATAGGCTGTCTTCATCTAGGATTACTACATTCATACAGGAAGCTATTCATAATACAATACTTAATATTACAAATCAAATTTGACTATACAAGTTATTCATAAAGAACCCAGTGTTCAAGATTATGAAAACACTTCTATACTTTCGCCACACATCAAAAAAAGCTGTTTTATAAAATGATACTTTATTGCGTCTTCTTCTCCGCTTTAGGCAACTGCACCAAAGCTAAATAGTGAATCAACTTCTCTCTCAACCCAAAGTACTTC